ATGCCAAAAGGTATGCATGAGTTCAGTTTATGAGTTATACTCTGTAATGATCAATGGACAGGTTAGGAGGGTAACACAACATCGTGGGCAGTTCCCTATTAAAAGTACATGTATATGTATGCATACACACAACTGACGTATGTGTACCAGTGAAAAGAAAGAGGTACTGCACGCAGGGTACCAGTGCTCCGGGCTGAGAATATGCATTAGTCTCCATTCCAGCTTTGATTTCATTCTTTATCGTGAATACCATGTCGTACATGTTCCAAGCATACATGCGGAATTGCCTGCACTTCGGAACTGCCCATGCGTTGAATAAATGGAAAGAGTGTGGTAGGCAGGAACCCCAAGATTCCAGAAGAGTCCTACATGAAGCCGGTATACCCGCTATTCATTGCGAATTTCAGGGGTCCGTATACCTGCGTGCTTGGTCAACGCCACATAACTTTTAGTTTGTTATATCCCGGTCCCACATTTTGTATTACTGGCTGGAAAAAAGTGAAGCAACGAATTTAAGAATCAAAAGCGTATCCGGTGTTTGTTGAAAATTAAATGGCGCAACTTCATTGTGTGTGTTGCCATCATGTAGAACTTACACGACATTATATACTGGGTGCAGGAGTTCCGTACTTTGGCAAGTCGGAATTAAGCTGTCACAAATTGTAAGAATAAAGTATACTCCGTTTCTTCATATAGAAAAAGAGTTTACACAGGGAAGAAAAATGTTTCCCCTGGAGAAAATGAAACGAGGAAATTATCGTCCATTTAAAATCCTTAAAACTTGTTTTCTTTCACTCTTGCATTTAACCAGGTCAGAGTTGCATAAGCATACAGACAAGTATAGACTAGTTCATGTACGATGCTGGTGGAGGTAATAGGTTACAATATTTTATCAACATTAACAGTTTCAACCATGGTGTTTAAAAAAAATCAAGTTGCCATAGATCGTAAAATTGATCAATTTATGGTAGTGGTGAAAGAGTGAGTGTATGTAATTGCGTCATTAAAAAAATTATACCTGCTCTCTCTGGAACTCCTTCTTGAGTTGTTGCTGGAGATGCTCGGCGCTCATTCTCTTCGGCAACCTTCCCAGGTCGTCTATCTCGATTGACCGCTTGTAACCCAGGAAGAAAAGCCAGTTTAGCCACCAGAAGACCAGCTCCGAGGCGAAGTTGACATAGTCACTTCGGTAAAACGGACCTTGGAAAGAAATGTCCTCAGGTGTGCTTTCCTTCCTACACCGTCTGCGACATAACACCTGTCAGTTTCGAGAGATGGTAAAATATACATGTACTTGGCAATACCAGGATCCGGGCCGGATGTGTTCTGTAGAGACCACATGGGCACCATGCGGTGTTCTGCGATCAGTCATAGACACCAGCACTTATTTCATAGCCCTGATAGGCGCTGCTGTGTTTAATAAACCTATATTGGCTATTTTGAAGCTTTCCAAGAATCCCCAACTGGAAAGAGGAGAATACCAAAGTATTATCTTGGGACCTAATTTTTTATAATCGGTGCCATTTATTTTTGCAAGGCGAGAGCAACGTCCACAGTGCCTGCTATACCATTGGATGATCCGGTCAAGATCAGGAGGTCGACGTTCGTACAGCATGTTCTTCTGAGGGGAGGGGGAATCTTGTCCCCAATCAAAACAGGTTTAAAGTGGATTCAGTTTTTTGTTTTATGGCTTTTTATTACTGCTTGGGTTATTTTGATATTTAATGGGCCTGTATGCTATTGTATTCCTTTTTAATTTAGCTCGATTCGATTTTTTAAACATCTCACCTTTACTCGGATGACATTTAATTCCAACATGACAAGCACCACAAAACAAATCAGTTTCAGTACCACCAGGTCAAACCGGGTAATCGTCACCGATCCTTGGTCCAGCTCAAGTAAGTTGATGAGCCTTCCGATCTCTGTCAGAGCCGCCGCTGTATAGTAGAACAGCAGGAGGACGGCCATGCCACCAACTTGCCAGATCTCCATTTGCTGGTAGTAGACCAGAGAGACGATCACAGCGACTAGTGCACAGATTGACGGAGCGTACAGATGGGGCTGAGTGGCCCCTAGACTCTGGATATAAGTTTCATCTGTCAGGATGCCTTCAGCTAAGGAGGCAAGGAGGAGGATTAACAGGAAGATGGACACAGACCATCTTGCGGAATGACCAGGAAACCGGATGAGGTATTCCGAACTTCTACCCTTACTGCAGCATGTGCAGCATCCTAGGAACAAGACGACAGAAGACAGGAGGATAAATCCCAGGTGAGGAATGAAGTCCAATGCGTCTACGAAACAAGTGTTGTCGTGCCAGTTGACGAGGTTGAAACCTCCCGAGCTATCCAAGTCCGTAGAGTTTATTCCACAGAGCCACTGCCAACCCGTACTGGCGTGTGCACGCGCCATAGCTATTCCTGCTCATGACTGAAAGTCGCAAGTTCGAATTCACTAACCCGTAACGAACCTTCAACCCAAGAACAGCTTATTACCCAAACGCGTTCTTGCCGTTCAGTATACACATTAAAAGTACAAAGTACTAGAAAGGCAAACAAGTTTACATTATGCCGTAACTTTGATGTTGAAATCCCCGTCAATAAACATAGTGATCAGTCTGAACCTTAGGATGAAATAATAAAAGCCCAAGGCACAGAGCTGTTCGTCAAGTATTTGCTTCTAGATACAGGTCATGATAACAGACGTATTATTTTAGTGGTGACCCATGTGAGGGGATTTGTACTGCCATTTCCCTTGAAGACCTCGTAAGTGAATAAATTACCAAGAGTCTATCAAATGGTGATATTTAATTGTACCGGCGTAAATTTGTTATAGTGCCCTCTTTTGGTGGAGTTTTGCGATGGACACTCACGTTCCAGAATTTCCTCGTGATGTTAAAAGACGGTTGATCCACAATACAGGCAGTTTTTCTAGCTAAGTAAACCCTAGGAATGCAACAGTTGGTCAGAAGAGATAATTCTTCCATCTTAGAAATCACCCAAGAACATTAGATTTAGTGTTAAGGGTCGGTTGAGGAACCGGTTGTAACATTTGTAAAATCATAGAGGGTCATTACTGGCTCTGTATATTATAAGTCTATTACATGGAGTATGGAATTCCATATCTGCCGTCGTGCGTCGTGCGTCG